ACTACATATACATTATTACCACAGGTGACAGAACGAAACGGCTCGATGGGCTAGTACAGCATGACTGATATTTTATTTTAGGATGATACAACAAAAACATTAGCATGCCAATGTCCCATCTCAACTCCACACGTCACATCTTGTTCACCCTGTATTCAGTGAAAAGAGGCTGTGCATACACATCTTATGCTTAGTAGGGCAAGGCATACAACGTTGAGGCAGCCCAGTGGCAAAGCCAGTGGTTGGCACACCAGGCTCACACGCTCCTCCCTTTTTCGAATATTTTTGCCCCGTAGTACACAGAATGCAAAATGACGCTCGATCACATCCACGAACCGGGCCCCACTTAAGATCATAGTGGCGCCCCTCCTCCAATTCCATGCACACACAAAATAAAATCTGCCTACACACCTGTGGCAGCCCACACACCTTCTGGTGCTCACTTCAGTGTTGTCAATCGTTGCCATGACCTTGTGTACGCATAATATAAAGGCACACATTACATGCACATTTAGAATAGAAGGACATGCGTACAAAAAAATAAAGTGCTGAAGCTCAAGCACTTTCACACCAGTCCGAATTCAGGATAATGTGGCAAATTTCGCAAAATAGTCTATACTGGTAAACTTGGCAGCCAAAAAAGAAGACGTCACAAATTGTATCACAAGTTGCCCCAAGGGCAGCTAGTTAAAGCCAAGGCCATACCTTGTGCCAATAGAATGGTCTTGCACAGCATATTACACTACGTTGTGACTGCTCTTGTTTATGTAGCCAGAGTTAAAGCGAACAGAAGTGTTCTTGTCTCTTCAGAAGCCTTACACATTTCAACACATTTACATTTTCAGCAAGGTTTTTTTTGCAAGAACCTTAAAATTCACAAATTTCAGAAGTGACAAATTATTTGAATTTACTGATACAGTTATGCCCCAAAATGACTGATAGCCACAAATGTGTCTCAGAAGGAGACGTTGTGCACAGCTCAACTGATCATAGAGGGAATGCCTTAGATGCCGCCCATGTTTTACCTAATATTGTGAAATGAAAATCTGGTTATGACAGCATGTTAGTCCATGTAACATTGAGGCTGTGTAGGGGTATGTAATGAACCATATTGCCAATGGGAAAAGATGATAAGGTGAGCAACAGAAATGTAGAAGTGAATGAGTTGTACCAAATAAACTGTGAAACCTTCAGATGAGTTAAAATAATAGCGATGTTTCTGGTGTCGTTTTTTACGTACACCAACAAAAATGCAGACGTGTGTTTTCAACAGCAACAAGGTGTCTTGAATAAAAAGTAAGCACACATTACGCTTATATTTATACATATATATATATATTGTGCTGTTCTAAAAAATAAACAAATAAACCTTGTATATATATATATATATATACATATATATATATATATATATATATGGAAAGAAGTGTATACTTAAGGGCTCGTTTTTCTGTGTTTTACACAATAATAATGAGATCTAACAGACAATAATGCAAAGAAAAGTATAGGGGAAGACGTTAGACCGAATTGTAATGTAAATATGAAGAAAAGTGGGTGAAACGATAACTTGCCGTGGGCAGGATCCGAACCTGCGACCTTCGAATGACGCGTTCGATGCTCTACCACTAAGCTACCACGACAGCTACCCCCCAGCCACTTTATCGGGTTTTTATGTGAATTGAACGTGAGAGTGTCAGTCAGTGCCACCAGTAGCGCTGGCGGCGAGTGTAGCACACTCTTTTGAGCCTATTTGGCGTCACGTAGCACGTGAACTTATTACGAGTTGGCAGCTCACCAATAGTCCCTCGTATACAACCTAAAGGCGCTAAGTCTGTCAGTACGAGACCCTTGTTGATGAATTAAGGAAAGAAGTGTATACTTAAGGGCTCGTTTTTCTGTGTTTTACACAACAATAATGAGATGTAACAGACAATAATGCCAAGGAAAGTATAGGGGAAGACATTAGACCAAATTGTAATGTGAATATGAAGAAAAGTGGGTGAAAAGATAACATGCCGTGGGCAGGATGCGAACCTGCAACCGTCGAATGACGCGTTCGATGCTCTACCACTGAGCTACCACGGCAACTATCCCCCAAGCCACTTTATTGGGTTTATATGTGAATTAAACGTGGGAGTGTCAGTCAGTGCCACCAGTAGCCATGGCGGCGAGTGTATACACTCTTCTTATTCTCTATATTTGAAGGTCGCCGGTTTGGATCCTGGCCACAGCAAGTTATCTTTTCACCCACTTTTCTTCATATTTACATTACAATTCGGTCTAATGTCTTCCCCTATACTTTCCTTGACATTATTGTCTGTTAGATCTCATTAATGTTGTGTGAAACACAGAAAAACGAGCCCTTAAGTATACACTTCTTTGCTTAAATTATTAACGAGGGTCTAGTACTGGCAGACTTTAGGTTGTATACGAAGGACTATTTGTCAGCTGCCAACTCGTAATAAGTTCACGTGCTACATGACGCCAAATAGGCTCAAAAGAGTGTGCAACACTCGCCGCCATGGTGGTGGCACTGACTGACACTCCCACGTTTAATTCACATATAAACCAAATAAAGTGGCTGGGGGGATAGCTGTCATGGTAGCTCAGTAGTAGAGCATCGAAGGCGTCATTCGAAGGTCGCAGGTTCGCATCCTGCCCACGGCATGGTATCTTTTCACCCACTTTTCTTCATATTTACATTACAATTCGGTCTAATGTCTTCCCCTATACTTTCCTTGGTATTATTGTCTGTTAGATCTCATTGATATTGTATATGTATATACATATATATATATATATATATATATATATATATATATATATATATATATATTGTGCGGTTCCAGGAAATAAATCTTGTTGTAAGTCAATGCCGCTGTCTGTCTCCTTCTTTTCTTGTCCCTCGTTATTGGCGCTGTTCTTTATGTGAATCATGCCGTACCAACTCGCCCAAGCAACCACGTTAGCGTCTGTCATAATCATATGGTGGTTTTGGGACGTTAAACCCCACATATCATCGTTATCAATTATTTCTATCATGTTCACATGTAACAAGAGCAACTATGCTTCAACGATTTCCTGTGGAAATTAAACTGCGATACGCATAAAATAGGTTTCTAATGCAGTAACTATTCTCCTTATTGAGGGGGTAATATTCATTACTGTGGGTCTCCGACGTGTCAAAACCACGATTTCATCTCGGTGGACGCCGTAGTTGAGGGCTTTTAAGTTTGACAATCCGGGGCTGTTTAGTATGCACCTGCATCTAAACACCTCGCAATTCCTTGCATTTCTTCCCCAGGGAAACATTTGTATGGTGAAACAGAATGCTGTCTAAAGTTTTTTCAATTACTTTTCTTTGTATCTTGGAATACCGTGAACAGACAAAAATACTAGTGCAAAATTTAACTTTAAGCACTCCCCTATCAACTTGTGTTGGCGACTATCGCACCCTGCACAAGGTATTTTCGTGTTAATGAATCTTTAAATTTAGTAAACCTTCCTTTTTTAATTTAAAATAACAAATTTTCTTCGTGCATTGACTGTTAGTCACATTGTCTGGTACGAAAATGCGCTCTTCGTTGAAGACCAAATATGATGGCGTGCCATTCTACATGCCAATGTATTGCGTATTCCTCCCACAATCATGCATGAGTATGTGGAATTATTTCTTCCAGAGAGTGATTCATCTAACATTAATTTGCTAGTATGATAACTGTCATAAATCTTATTGGAATTTTACGTGCCCAAAGCATGACATGATTCATGGCGAATTTCACTGGTAGATCCGGAGTGGCCGCCGAAATCTTGGAGTGAGCACTCGGAGTGTGCCAAACGAGATCGTCGAGTGGAACACGTGACTGCCTCGCGTGAGGTCTCTCCGGAAGCTTTTTTACGCATACCTCAATAAACCGGTATCGGAAATGATTTTCTTTTCTACTCTCGACGTTTCAATGACAACTGTGTCGCAACTTCAAAGCAAGCATTTCGACCACGGAGTCTCGCGGAAAGCAGGGCTACCGCTTCCAAATTGTAGGAATGTAAACAAGAGCACAGGGTTACTAGACCGCCTAAAAAAAACGCTGAGGGCAACCCAGCTGCCCGGCTGTACCAGAAATGACGGCAACGCATTATCGGAGTTCTGGCGAAATCTGTCTCTGCAAGACAGAGCACGCGGAACGCTCCATCGCGGAGTGCATTGCTCTGAATCTACCCCGGAAACGCGGATTGTCAGTTTTGGAACAAGAAAAGTTGCTCCCGCTCGACGAGTGGAATCCGCCATAAGAGACGCGAAGTGGAGGGCTCCGCAAATTTTGGCCATGTGGTGTTCTTCAAGGTGCACAGCATTCGCACATCACGCAGCATTTATACAATTTTGCCTGAATGAAATTGTGACGGAATGAACAAAACGCTGTGACGCAATCTTCTTTAGAGACCAGTGAAACGTCTGTCCCTTGCCAACGTCGCCGTTGCAGTTTTCTTGAAACGCTTTTTGGTCACATATTTGGGTTGAACTGTTTTATGGAAGCTTGCGTCAGCGTTTTGAGATAACCCCTGCCTTACAGCACTTTTCCCTCATTCAGTATTTCACGAACGATAAACTCATCTTGCTCTGGCACGATAAAGGAGTGTAAACAAATTTTATTATTAGTTACCGCATTTGCTTTAATGAATGCGGGTCAGATACATAGCTTCCCCCATCCTGCGAGTTTTCTAAAAAAAAGTCCGCTTGCCATCTTTCTAACTGCATAGCGAGAGAAACGAAAAACACCCTGGCTGTTGCGTCAATTCTGAGAAAGAACATGCCCTTGATAGAAAGCGAGGTCAGAAAACAAACGAATCATTCAAAATTAAGACTTCCCTAGGCAGGAATCAATATTTACAAAGGAGGAGAGTGTTCCTGTGAGGTGCATGCTCAAACTAAACGTCACAATATTTCAAGGCCAAAAGGCAACATTGGAAGATATGGGTGCCACACAAGGCAGCCATGCGCGTACCTTTTACGGCGGCTTGCAGCCTGTCCAGGTTGGGCAGCGTGACACGCAACGGGGATGACAGCAGCTTAGTGCGTCCCTCGGAGGCACCGCCCTTCAGCAGAAAGAGGCGCGTGTCGCCCTTCGTGAGCCTTGTGCCGCACAGGGCGTCGTTGTCCAGACCTTCCACCAGCAGAACGGAGCCTCCCAACTCTCGGGGACCACCTTTCAGAAGACGATGCACTCGCACGCTGACCTGAAACAGGTGACTTGTTCATGCTCAAAAAAATAAAAGATGCAGCGGAGTGCTCATACGAACATAAACTGAAAAGCTTTACACATGCAGGGTTTTCTGCTAAGTTTTAACCGGCGATGACCACATTGGTCTCATCAATCTGCCTGCTGAGTAAATGAAGCTGACGGCCACGTGCAACGGCACTTTCAGTGGCCTGCTGCGCCCCCATCGCAGTTTTAACGCGATAGCATTAGAGAGCTCGTGTTGCAGAAATCCCGCTGTCGGTGTCGGCCCCATTGGTTGTGAGCGAAAAATCGCCTGTGCATTTGTGACCGAAAAGTCAAGTTACCAATATCGCCATTGGAGGCCGCAACTTGTCGACGCGTGAGCGCGCGATCACGCTGAAAAAGTCGCGCATTCGAAAAAAAACGCACTCAAGGTCACAAGGCGCGGTAGTTTCTTGGCCCCTGCCACCTCTACCTGCTTACCTTCTAGCGCTTTCATCGGAACGAGAGAAGAGATAATACAATTGCAGCATGCGACAAACCTTTGCAACATACACTCGCACTGTTCACATTCATAAAATTTTTTCGGCGTTCAATTCGTGACGCAACCAGCTCCTCTGGTGAATTCATTCCATGGTTACTTGAAAAATTGTTTTCGGGCCCCTTTAACGCATTTCGTCGACAGGTGTCACACCGAGAACGAGCCCATTCGGCGATTTGAAACTACGTCGAAAAGGCCGGGAGCAGCCATCGCCACTAAAGACACACAGTAAATTTCAAGCAGCTATAAATAAGGATAACAATGTTTATCCTGCGGAAAACATAGCATGCCTTTCCAGAGGCGTTCATCCAGCGAATACCAAACGCTAGATAATGTGCTGCTATCTGTGAGAATATGGCCTCCCTGATGGCGAGCACGCGGCGTGTATCTTGGAGGCCACGCGAGTCTTGCTCTAGATCAAAAACCTCTATGTACCACTCGCGCGCGCGCGCTGGTATGATCGACTGTGTGCATGTGTTTATACGTGCGTGGGTGTGTATATATTACAACATATTAATCAGTATGCACTTAAAAGTTGAAGGGAGCACGAGGGGCTGGATTTCGCTATCGCGTTCAACTCTTAAAGGCAAAGCTTAAGGGTCCCCCAATTTTTTTCCGATACGGATACCAGCAAGTGCCTAGGATATCCAGCTGCCATCAAACGGGCTATCTGCCCTTTAAAACTTTCCTGCATTGAATGATGGCCTTACTTCGTGAGTGCGTTGTGCAAACAATCACCAACAATACCACACTTGATCAGCTTGTTGTGTGCCGAGGCACAAGGCAACAAAGGTGCTTTTTTTGTAAGGGGGCTCGAATTTCCACATATATGGCTACTTGGAAACGAAAGCCTCAGGTCCAAGAACCTCAAGAATCCATTTTTGGGGATTTTGTGGGTCAGAGTGGGTGGCATTAGGCAATCTTTGAAGAGCGTCAAAGCCTCCTGAAGGGAAGATTCGTAAGGCAAATCATCACCAGTGGTTACCAATCAGCCCGTGGTTACCTTTCTTTGCGCTTCAGCTGTTTAAGACGTGGTCATCAGAATGCACCGATATTCACCACACTTCGATGCCTTCTAGCTTCACCTAAAGTACTGCGACATTTTCATCCTCTCGCCTCGACTGAACTGCACACGGACGCTAGCGGTGTTGGTCTTGGCGCCGTGCTTGCACAGCGTAGACCTGTATTTCACGAGTACGTCTCTTACGCCAGCCCTGCGTTCGCCAAAGAAAGCTGAAACCAACTACTCCGTGAAGGAAAAGGAATGCTTAGCCATCATATGGGCCATAGACAAGTTTCGACTCTATCTTTACGGACGTCCATTTAGCGTGGTTACAGACCACTACGCATTACGCTGACGTTCCTCCTTAAAGGACCTATCCGGCCGACGTGCCCGGTGGACACTACGTCTGCAGGAGTACGACATTCGCGTCGTTTACCGGTATGGACGCAAACAGTCTGATGCTGATGCTCTGTCCCGGTCACCTATTTTGTCTGACGATTCCTCCCTGTCTACATCGCTCTATGACGTGCCCTCACTCTCTGACACTGAAATGCGTATGGAGCAGAAGAAAGGCCCCCGGGTCGCTTCTGTAATAGATTCGTTGTGTCGGCCTCCATCACACCCCATCTCTTGAGAACTGCGGCGGCAAATCCATTACTTTAGTATTCGAGATTGCTCTATTATCGAAATTACTTTTCCGAAGGGCACAGAGGGCTCTCGGTTATTCCCTGACATCTTCGGTCAGATATGTGCGCATTTTTTCATGCTCATCCACACTGTGGACATGCCAGAATACTGAAAACTTATACACGCCTGCGCTTCCGCTACTATTGGAGTAAAATGTACCGCTTTGTCTACGCTACATTCACTCCTGTCTCGCTTGTCAACGGCACAAAGATACTCTTCCTCGTTCTCCTGCACCTCTGCAGCCTCTACCTTGTTCTGCCAGACCATTTGAACGTGTAGGCGTTAATCTTTATGGACCGCTGCCCATCAGTTCTGCTCGAAACCGTTATGTAATCGTCGCAATTGATCATTTGACGCGCTACGCAGAAACTTCACCTCTGCAATTGGTTTCGGCTAGGGACGTCGGTTCCTTTATTTTACACCACCCCGTTTTGCGTCTTGGCGCACCAAGCGAGCTACTCAGGTCCGAGGGTGAGTATTTCTCTCCTTAGCCGTCCAATTGCTTCTAAAGGAATTCCGCATCATTCACCGCACCACCACTGCATACCACCCTCAAACTAATGGCCTGACAGAACGGTTTAGTCGAACACTGGGTGACATGTTGGCATTGTACGTCGATTCTGCTCAATCAAACTGGAATGGCGTTTTCAGCTTCGTGACGTTCGCGCACAATACTGCGACTCAGACTACCATGAGATTTTCCCCATACTTTCTACCTTATGGATGCGAGCCCTCCTGCATGCTCGAAATCATTCTTCCGTACCATCACGACGCAACTGAGTCGACACTCCCATCGCAAAAGCCAGTGGCACTGGCCCAACGCCATACCTGCTTACTGGACCAGTGTGGCGCTGACACTGGGATATTATCACGCTGCACACTGGGACACCCAATACCAGCCTAAATCTGGCTTTTAAATTGCTTTCAAAAACTTTGTTCATGCGCACATCGTAAATAAGGCTGAAACACGCATGTTGTGAAAAACAAAAAAGAAAAAAATACAAAAAATGCGTCAGCCAAACTTACTATCTCAATACACCACACATCCTGAGCCTGCCACGCTACCCACTACACCACACCTGAAAGAGGTGAGGGGATGTATTTTTCTTCATCTTAAAATTTATTCAAGTCTACAATAATTTGATTTTGTTTTTTATGTACGCAGTGTTTCGTGTCTTCGTGCACGCGCCAAACTAACAGGTGACTGTTAGCTTAGTTTTTGCGGGTTGCCTTGGATCAAATCCACCTGGCATGTTTTGCCGCAAAACTTGTTAGCGTATCTGCAGATGTATTACAGCAATCGTAGTGACTCGCTATGCGGTTAGTCATACCTATGTAGAAAACAGCTTTCATCTGAACTGCTCACTCAACACTGTAGATTTTGTCCCTCCATGGTTTGGACGTATTTTCTGTCCTACTCGTTCATGTTATGCGTACGACAGCCGCAGCAGTTTTCTCTAGCCGAAACGACCATCAGGCTTGGGGCCGTACTTCGTGGACCACGGTTACCGTGAATACCGTAAGATACTCGGTTAGAAAGAGTCTAGTAACCGTTACAATGTTTCGATAATAACTGTCTAATGACTGGTCATATTTTCACCTTCAACTACACAAATCAGAAGCTAACAACACCGAGATTTGGCATTGCAGCGAATAACTGCTGCAATGCAAGCGGCTAACTGCCTCCCACATGCATACCTGAAATAACTGCTGCCGGGGACGTCAACTTTCTGCGGTACACGCCGGAACGACTCACTGCTAGAGCAGGTTGGTCTTGATTATAAGACTCATGCTACTGTCATGCTGTGTTGCGAATTATCAGTTCTATCGACGCCATTTATGAAATACATTGACGAAACTTGATCAAACTTTAAGGAAAGCGCACCGGCACATGGGGGCGGGGGCTTGCGTAGGTGGGCTGGAGCCTTTTTCCCGAAAATTCTTGCTCCCCCCCCCCCCCCCAAGAGCAAGCATAGTCCAAACACGGCGCATAAGCTCTATGCCTCCCTGCCCCCCTGGAGGAACACAATTGTCGTTGGTGCGCCCCTCCCCAGCAAAATCCTGGCGTAGAAACATGGGCAAGTTGGTAGGACATAACTGAATGCAGGAACAGCGCAACCTAGAAGTAGTTACTTCGTAACTATGGAAGCGAAAAAACAAGGACAGAAAAGAGCCCTGACATTCAACAAAGGTTTAATATCGGAGTGGTGTACATGCCCTTTGCTTGGACATGGTGCTCGCATTTGCAAGATTTTGCGTTCAAAATGGTTGCGCCAGGCTCGACTTTGCCGCGAGAACCTCTATCTGCAGCTACAGCGTTTAGAGAGACCCTCTACTGCCAAGAAGAAATAGTGCGAGTTATCTGCCTTGGCTGACAGCACGACGGAATTTATGTGGCAACACACACTTCTTAGCATACGAGCCGTTCCTTCACCTTCAAAGAAGCCAGTGTTGCCGAGGAATCGGGATACACATCGTTGGTGATGTTGAAATTCCTGAAAAAGTGCATGATGTTTTGGGACTTCGACCAAAGTTTGCTGCTGAACCTCGAAAAACGCCACAGGAGCAACTGACCCTCGTACGACAAGTTTTGTCATTCTTTCTCTTTTACAGCTTGAAATGTATGCGGGTAAGCATTTATTTCGCGGTATTCTTCTGTTGACGTAAGCTGTCCTTCGGTTCACATGCTTATTTGGTTCGTTGGCCGTTTCACTCATGTTCTGAAATGTTGTATGCGTCTTTCGGGTGTTTAATCACTCGATCCTGTATGTGTTATTGCTACTGT